TAAGCATGGACGAATTTGTTCTTCTATCAAAATTCTAAAAAGAAGCATTCTTGGTTCTTCAAGATATGCCATCAATCAATTAAGATTGATTTTCCTAATTGGATTATTCTGTGGTGGAATATCTTTGGCCCCGATCTTGATATTCTCCATGAATCAGTGAGACAATTATTCCTCCCGTGGCAACAATTTCATCCTTAGCTTAGAGGATAGGAAGATGTTCATATAGGGAAATCTACCCTATTGTTCTTTGTAGAATTTGGAATTCCATGGATATGGAAATGGGACTTCAATTGTAACTGCAATTTAGCAAAGCTACCAGTTCTAGAAAGAAAATTTTCTTACAGATGATGGTCTGGGATGACCTAGCAACTAGTTTAAGAACTTTTGTTTATTATTAGACAAAAAAATTTGGCATATCATGATGCCATTCCAAAATTGACATTGGGTCAATTTCCAACAGCCTCTGATACTTTTAATCCTTTTGATTTGGTTAAAGAAATGATCAGGAAATAAAATCTAATAATTACCGAAACTGATTTAATAGTGAAATGTATGGATTTTATGAAGAACAAGTTTATCAATTCATTTGGTTCTTCATCATCTTAAATTAAAGATGATTCTTCAATAGCGTCTACTACAAGTTAAGAAGGAAATCAATTCCATTGTTTGGCTAGAGAAGCTCAGGATCCTAATTAGGATTCAGATCATGAAGTGGAGCCCAACACTGAAGATCATTGGGATTCCCTTATAGTTCTAATGACAGATAGGATGAAACCTCCTTAAAAATAAGATTTTCAACTATCTTGCCAACAGAAGAATACAAAGAACTTTTTACAAAAGCTTTGATTCCATAGGAAGAAGACAAAAAACTTTTCAAAAGTCTTTAATTCTACAATTCAAAGCCAAACAACCATTATGGCTTTACTCTTGTCAGAAGAATAACAAGGTTATATGGCAAGAAGATAGAAGCTAGTGGTGGACCATTCAACTACAAAATAATTCAGCACACACCATCCAACTACTATGCGGACTTCAAAGTTTATTTTTCAAGTCCGATATTTTATGTATAAAAGGGGGCATTGTTTACCCTTAGTTTATCTTTTCAGTTTTCTATTCTCTTTCTCTTGTAATATTTCTAAGGGTTTACTTTGCTTTAGAGTTGAATAAAGAGAGTTTTTTGTAAGTTCTTTTCGAGTTTTAAATTATTACTTTTAATTCTGTAATATTATTATATCTTTAGTGGAATATAGTGGTATTTGTAGTGGTATATATATCTTGTAGTAGTGGTATGATTTAGTTAGTGGTATATATCTTTTTTATCTTTTGATAGTTAGTGCTTTTTCCCAATATTTCCCATTACTAGTAGTATTCCATTGTATCTTTAGTATCGAGCCATCATGGCTTAAATACATATTGTTAATGCTTCTAGGTTCTGGTAGTATGAATATTATTGTAATTATGTAAAGAATAATGATATTCTTATTATGTTGAAATCCTATTTAAATTTGATGTTATTATGAGTCGTCCAAAAGTCGCATTGGAATATGGAGACCAACTTTTGCATTAAATTGCTCCATATGTCGATGATTCCAATAAACCATTGATAGACGAGTAATATCATCGCTCCTAAGCAAAACAACGACAGAATAATAAATCACTATTCATTATATAATATTATAATGATTATACTATTTAGTCCTTAAGCATTAACAATATTTTAATTTTCATGTTAAATCCTTCTTCTTCCAACATGGAATTACAAGATTCTGAATTAATTAAAAATTCAGAGTTAATTGATTATGAAAATGTTCAAAATAAATTGAACAAATGGACTATTCCTCCTATAAGTGCTAATAGCATCTACAAGATTGAAATGTTTGATATTGTTGATTGATGTGAAATTAATCCATGGAACAAACAATGCAAATGAGTAAACAGGACAATAATTAGGTTATTGTCTCCACGGGATCTTCATAGATATACGAAGAACTATAAGTATATACATATTGGTTTAATACAAATTGCTTTTAAACCTTTAACATTACTTGGCATGAATACAAGCAACATTTAGAGATGCTAAGTGTTTGGATTATCGCCCTTCATTAATGGGTGCTTTAGAAACCAGTCTATGTCATGGACCGGTTTATTTTAATATATATCGTAGTTTGAATATATCTTTAACGGATACGAATATATATGAAGCAGCCAGTCTTCGTATTCAAACTCACGAATATGATTTCTTACCTGGATCTGAAGTGATAAATGTAATTTATCGCATTCATTATAAGGTATTAAATACCTTATGTCCTAAGGCTAAAAATAAAAGCCTTCTAGGAGAAACAGTGTTATGCGACACTAATATGTTTACTTCAAACTTTGCTACTTAGAGCTTGATTATTAGTGTTTACTTCAAACATTGCTACTTAGAGCTTGATTCCTTGGAGTGAAGTAACACTTCATGAACATTGGACAATTCAGAGTGCAGTTCTTCCAAAGCCTATTGTAAATATGAATTTGGACTGTGTAATCCAAGATCAAGATGGTGATGTTCTTCTAAATTTTAGAAGAAATCTAGATTTAGCCAGAAGTACACCATATAGAGGAATTAATGCTCCTTATAAGGTTTCTTTCCCTTCATCTTTTAGACATTCTTTTTCACATTTTAGGACTAGAGATCCTAAACCAGAAGAACGAGTGACTAATGAAGTCAGATTGCAAGGAATTCAACAATCTGCACAGGAAATTCCACAGTGTATATCAACCAGAAAGAGGCCCAGTACCTCGAGAATTTGGTATGGAATTTACTCCTACCGCTTCAGAAAGGGGTGAATATTAGTTTTAACAGACTTTACTAATAAAGAGCAATTTCAACTTTTTAAAACTCAATTTTATGATTATTTAACTAATAAAAAAGTAGTTATACCTTTTTGTTTCTTGGTTTTGCATCACTAATCGTTCCACTATAAATTTAAACATTTTCGATGATTTTTTTTAAAATATGGACCACGAAAGAGAATAAAATTATTCACTCAATCTATCATCTGCCTATTGAAGTCTTAATATTAAAAAGGGTTGACCCTGAAACTGAAACTGGTTCCAAATTGGAAACTAAGGCTTATAAGCAGCCATCTTCTATTGATAAACAAGGATCTTTTATTGTCAAAGAAAATATCAATAAAATCTATAGACAGCATAATTATACTAATGTATGTATGCAAACTATAGGTTCGTAATTAGGGAATTGAAACTGGTATGGATATAGTATTAAATATCCTTAATACTAAATTCATACTAGTAAAACCTCTATCAAAGACAACTTTTTTTTCGGAAAAAAAAAAAAAAAAAAAAGCCACACACAATGTTTCACTTGGTAAGTGGACTTTTACGCGATTCCACACTCCACTAATAAAATTTGGAATATGGTGTGGGCTCTACAAAATGAAAAAGCCCATGCCAAATGTTTTGATTCGCCACAGCACAAGCCATTGGCCGAAATGACTTTCGTTGTGGATGTTCTCACAAAAAGAGATCTGGGAGCAAGCCTCGGCCTCAGATCAAGGGCTTTGGGAGGAGAGCCTCTTTTATTTTAAAAGGGAGAGAATCACCACGTTTGAAGGTGGGTTATTGATTTACTACTTTTGCAATTATTTTTATTAATCGAAATTACAATACCTCAACTCCAATTAACTATCTTTCTGTAATTTATTGTCAAAACTCAAGTCAACAAACGCATGAAAAAAGTCCCAAAACTAAAACCTCTTAAAAAAGTCCTTGGCAATTTAATTGCACCCAGTTTGATCCCGGGACGGCTCAATCTAATTTGAAGCCTTAGGTAAAAAATAAAAAATAACATTTTTAACAATATAAATAAAATTAGTGACAACTCAAAAAACAAAATATACAAATATATATACACATAAATTTATAATAACAAAAGTTAATAAAATTAAAAAATAATTAAAGAAAAATAACCATTGAACCTAATTTAGAAAACCCAAGTCCAATACTTCTACAAAATTTTCAAGAGAATAAAAATGAGTTCATAGAGAGTGGGATAAGAAGACTTGTTGAAAAGAAGAAGATAAAACATAATATATATATATGGAATTTTTTTGCTATTTTTCCAAACAACAACGTTAAATAGATATTTAATATTTTACTGTTGGTGTAACTTACTCAAAAATGTTTTTAGTGTTGGTGTAAAAAACATGAATGAGAGAGAAAGAAAGAGGGAAAAAATATATTTAATGATACAAAATTTTGGGCCTAATATTAAATTTTTATATTGGTTAGAATTTATTGTAAAACGCGAATGAGAGTAGAAAAAAGGAGGGAAAAAAAGTCAAGGGTGTAAATTTTTGGGGGCTAATATTAAATTTATATATCAATTAGAGTTCAATGGAATGAGGGAGGAGAGAGAAAAGAAAAAAAGAGAGGTTATTTTAGGATATAAATATTTGAGGCCAAATATAAAATCGGAATGAATGAGGAGGGAGAGAGAAAAGAGAAAAAATAAGTTATTTTATGATATAAATATTTGAGGCCTAATATAAAATCAAAACGAGTGGGCAGGGACAAAAAAGTTATTTTAAGATATAAATCTTTGAGGCTTAATATAAAATTTTTATATTTATTAAAGTTTAACAATATTAGCAAATAATTATAGTATAACTTAATATAAGAAAATTTTAAAATTTTGGGACCTTCCTGTTGATTGGGACCTTAGGCAACCGTCTAAGGGTCGAGCCGCCTGGCTTGATCCGATGGTCTTCTTCGGCTATTTATTATTGCACACTTACAAAAAAATGTAAAAGTCAAACCAAAAAAAAATTGTAAAAGTCAAAAAAAAAAAAAAAAAAAAAAAAAAAAATTAGCCAAGAGCCAAGATCATCTTGAAGCTTTTTCTAACATTAAGTCAAAAAGTTATTACATGATTCGGCATGGTCCTATCCAATCACGACCCAACCCGTAAGTTTGCCTCGGTTATGATTGGCTGCGACACACTATTCTTCCGCAATCCAGAATACGCTATTCTTCATACATAATTCCTCTCTTCCGGCGACTCGTACATAACGTTCACACTGTTCACACACTGCGTCCTGTAGCATACTCTAAGCTCTTCAGTCTCTCTCCCTATAATATCAATTGAAAGTTGAAACCCCACTTTTATAAACCTAATTCTCTTGGAAATAATTTTTTTAGAGCAACCATTAACAATAGAACAGGGAAAAAAGAAAAAGAAAAAGAAATACACACACATTCACAGGTAAAATCACCCCATACATTTTGGATGTTTAGATTGCCGTTTCTTTCATTCTTCAAATTTTGGGAATAATTTTTTTATTCATTTCATCTGTTGATTTTGTTGCTTGGCTTCCCCTAAAGTGCTCTAGGGTTTGTTCATTGTTAATGGTTTCGTTCTAGCAAGGGATGATCTCTGGTTCAATATTTACAGAACATTTTGATGATACTTGAAATGTGTGGAACGTGTTGATTATATATTGGGTGTTGGGTGTTTTCCCAGGCACCTCAAGTTTGTTTATGTTTCAATGGCGGATTGCAATTTCAAGGAGGAGTTAGAAAAAGCGCGCCAACTTGTTGTTAGACTATATAAGGAGGTTGATTACAAGGATCAAGAGTTGTATCAAAAGGAGTGTAAGATTGAGGAGAAAGATAGACTGCTTGAATCATATGCTCAAGGTATGGTCATTATCTATCTGAACTAGTGATTCTTTTTCATGTAAACATTTGGTGTGAAGGGTTAAATCGGTTGTTTTTAAATTTACTACTATTTGTAATGTAGATTGTTGATGATGATGGCTAAATGTGTAGTTGTAAATGTGATTTAGGGTGTCAAAGACAAAGTAGAGGGTTCAAAACATCATTCATTAAAAATATAAATAAATAAATTATTTTTTTAAAAAATAAAAATAGATTGAGGTTTTAGAGCTCACAATGGCCCTACTTTTTGAATTTGAAAAAAAAAAAACTACAATTTTGGTTTACAGAGTTGGAGATTAGGGAAGATGCAGGTAGAGGCTGTTACTACAGCCCTAATTATGAGCAACTGAGCCTTTAAGAGGATTGTGGCGGGAAATTGTTTCTAGAGAGCTAATTATTTTGCATGTACAAGGAGTAACTAAGCCTTTGAGAGGTTTGTAGCAGAGTTAAGATTTCAGCATGGTATAATTGAACGTCGTTTGAACATTTAAAATATGACTTTTTTGTAAAAGCATATTCATTCCCGAACACTGCGTGTTATTCTTCTGTAGGTATGTTTTATGCTTTTTAATTATATTCATCCCTCCTAAAATAAATAATAAATGTAAAATAGTAAATTCTTTTCGTGAAATTCCAGTGCTTTATCACCTTGAGCCAAATGGTTGTTTTAGTTGCCCTCACTTTTTAAATTAAATTTCTGTAACACAATTTGTATATGTTTCTATACTAAATATTTGAGGATACATATCAAAAGTTATTATATTTTCATATAAGTGCTCGTACAATTAGAAATTTTTAAGAAGAATACAGCGTTATAGTTTGTTTGTCTCTTAGTTATAGGTTACTTCAGGATGTATTCAATCTGGTAACTCTGCTTTTCATAATACATGTTCATCGATAGCACCTGTAAAAATGGATCTGTACCTTTTACGTCTTGTTCTTTTGTCAATTCTTTCAATTTTCTATTCTACTTGACTTGCTTCCTAGAAATTGTAGAAAGTGAAAGCTTAAAATCAGAACGTGAGAAGTTGAAGCATGAGTTGGAGCTTCAAAAGGAAGAATTCAAGCAGCACGTCAAAGAACTTGAGCATGCGCACCATAGTGACCTGGAGAAGAAAAATGAAGAGCTATTGTGGACGGAGCATACGGTGGAGGAGAAAAATATTCTAATCAAAGCATGCCTTGAAGGTACGTCACATTTTTTTCGATGATAGTATTTATTTGGTATGTATAAAATTTAATACCAAAGGCTATTTGTGTTTTATTTATTGTATTTACTCATATATTGATTTAAAATGCTTGCTTCCTAGCTATGGAAGAAGGTGACATCCTAATCAAAGATTGCATTGAAGGTATGTCACATCTTTTGAGATGATAGTATTTACTTTGTATGCATAAATTGTAGTATCAAAGGTTAATTGTGTTTTATTTAATGTACATACTCATCTAATGATTTAAAATGCTTGCATCCCAGCAATGGTAGAAGGTGAAAGCTTAAAATCAAAACATGAGAAGTTGAAGCATGACTTTGAGCTTCAAAAGGAAGAATTCGATCACCAAGTCAAAACACTTGAGCATGAGCACCATACTGACCTGGAGAACAAAAATGAAGAGCTATTGCAGATAGAGTATGAGGTGGAGGAGAAAGATATGCCAATCAAAGCATACATTGAAGGTATGTGACATCTTTTTAGATGATAGTATTTATTTTGTATACATAAATTTTAATACCAAGGCTAACTATGTTTTCCTTAATGTATTTACTCATATAATGATTTAAATTTCTTGAAAGATGGAGGTATAGGATCCGACTTTCTGAATAGACTACAAAAATAGATAGTAGGTTTTCTTTTTTCTTTCTGACAAATCGGGACAAATTATGAATTTTGGATTTAGAAGTTGTAGTTTAAAGGAATGTCTAGTCATTTTTTGATACAAATATAGACAGTTATGTAGGTTAAGTGTTATCTTCCTAATAAGTTTTTTGATCTGCCCAATACCTCTTGGTCGCTGTGACATGATCACATTAGTTTTAAGCACATCTAAATACTAAGGATGCATGTGATTTAGGCTTTGGGGACGCGTCATGAGTGGTTGTCATTTCTGAAATGGAAATAATAAAAACATTTGCGGATGTGTCAATTTCAGGTGTTAAATGGCTTTCATTTCTGAAGGAAAAAATTGATCCTGCTTTCTGGAAAATTTCTGAAAACTAGTTTTTCAAAGGCCTTACTAAAGATGCTTTATCATATTACTCTTGCTTTTCCAGTTTTAAAAACATAAATGAATTTCGAAACAACAATACATGGATCTTTATCATTTGGCATATATAAGTGGGGACAAAGCCTTTAATAAGTAATGCTACTCAAACCAAAAGACTAAGCCGACTTAACAACATGAGGGAAGAATGTCCAAAAGATAGTTCATATGAGTCTCACATGATGTCAATTCATGAATATCCATTGCTCACTTCACTTTCAGTTTGGTTATCCAGATTAGTTCTGTTTTGAAAAGCCATTTGTTAAGAAATTCGAAGCAAATTTTTGTACCTAGATTCTTAGGAACAAAATTGGCCAAAGATCGGACTTTCACATGCCAGAGGTGATTTTTATTTTTATTATTTTGTAACATTGAAAAGATGCCCCTGTAATTAAAAGCATACTCAATCCCGGACACTACCATTTATGCTTCTGTGTGCATATGTATCTATTTTAATGAAGTTCTCTTTTTCTAAAATAAAAAGCTTCTTAGTAAAACCTTTCATTCCTTGCCATTTCATAGTCTCAGAAAATATTGCACAGTTAGAATTCAAGCGTCAAAAAGAAGTTTGTGAAGTTCTTTGCGAGTGGTCAGCCTTACATCATTCTGAACAGGCTTAAAGAGTACTTATTGTTAAAACCAAAATGATACATTGGTTAAGTTGCCTTCATTTCTTTTTGTTATTAAGTTGTTATTGTACTCTCTATTTCTATGCTAAAAATTTGAGCGCCTGATGGTAATCGTATGCCAATGGAATCAAGTTTTCATATGAGGTGCTCCTACAATTAGACATTTAGAAGAATGGAACCTTGTAATCTTGTTTGCCTCTTAGATATAGCTACTTCAGCACAATTTAGTCTCTCACTTTACGTGCTTATCAGTCAATTTTTTCCCCCCAGGAAGGCATGCTTATCAATCATGCCTCTAAAACGATTCATTCTTTTCTTCTCATGCTATTTGTTGCTTTCTTTGATTTTTTACTTTATGTACTTGACACTTGACTAGTGTACAGTTAACTAGCATAAACATATAAAAGGGCATTTATATATGCGAGATGTTTTCTGTTCAATTTCTTATTTCCTATTTTAATTAAAACAGGATTGGGTGAAATACAATGCCCCAAACTAGGATATACAAAGCTGAAGCAATTCTTTCAATCTCAAGAGATAGGATTTGAGAATCAAACCAAAATATTGGGAGAGCACGAGCACCATAATGACCCGGTGAAGGTAAGTGTACTTGTCTTCTGTTAAAATATCCCTTAGGTTTCCCTTCGAAGAGGGAACAAGTTTCTGGCTTCTCCCTTTACCACTTTTAATCGTGAAAAGAGGCTGATATGGAATAAGCTTTGTGGATTATCTGTGGAAAATTACAAATTTATGGTTGACTTAGTAGAATGAACACGTGGTCAAATTTAGTAGAGATGAACTTATTTTATGAAAATTTTGAAGTATCCAGTCTAATACACATACCATAAGTAAAAGAAAAAGAGATGTTCTGTAATGATACAAGATGACTTATAGTGACGGAGATAGAAGATGTGAGAATTTTGAGGGGACAAAATTTTTTATGAGTAATAATAATAAATTTTATATACAAAAATAAAATAAAAGATTTTTAGTGGGGAGAGCTGCCCCCCTGGGCATGCTATGGCTCTGTCCCTGATGACATATGTTTACTTCACGTGTAAGGCTCTACTATTAATTATTTGGTAATGAGAGACCATGGTAACAATTTTGTCCTCGTATGGCAAGGCTTAATAAGGTGTTAGGACAAAAATTCCAGAACCACTCTTTCTCTCTTCACACCTCTCCAAAACAACTCCCTCATCTATTTATAGTCTCCAATACATTCCCATAACTTGCTTAACAAGAAGTTACCAAATCAACCACAACTCTAAAATAGAAGCCTAATGAAAAAACAATTTCCTCCGCAAGTATACAGCCTTGCTTCACAAGTCTACAGTCTCTAGGAAGGAACATCTTCTATTTATGAAGGCAAATCTGCAACTTATTAGGCAAGTGCAATTGGTTCCCGATAGAGCGACTGATTGCAATTCTCAGAAAGAGCGATTGGTCTGTAATAGTACGACGAGTCGGACTTCTTTAGTACTCTGCAATCTTCAAGAATTTGAGACACAACCCAACATAACGCACATGTTTAAAATGTGCAATGAATAAAGTAAAAAATAAAATCAAAATTTGATAAATAAAAGTTGAATTATAAAGAACAGCTATTTTTTATTAGCTTAGACTCTCTAATGCCCTTTTGTGATAAAGGCTGAATTTCAGAAACTCTACCCTAAGCATATGACGAGCGCTCTCTTCCCCCAGCAAAAAAAAATTTCCAGTTACCCTGAAAGTGCAGGTAAAATTGCCACTCTGAATCATTTAAAACTCTCTGCTGGTATATGCTTCACTCAATTTGTCTCTGTGTTTTTTTTTATTTTTATGTTCCTTTTTAGAGAAGCATTTTAATAAGGCACTAATAATTAAGATTTAGGATCATTGTTTAGATGGAAGTTCCTCTGGTTTGATGATTCTTATATGTATTCTGCAATGCTTAAATTACCATGTTTCTCGCCTGTTAACATGTATCAATGTGTCAAAATACTAGCATGAGGTGTCCTACTTCCTAATATTATGCTCAACAACCATATGTGTGAAACAAATTATGCTTGTTAACTGCTCAAATATCTTATTTTCTACTGCTTTTATTTATTTTTTGATTTCATCTTATAATTGTTTTGCTTTCAATACGAATGTAGACTTTTTTTTTTTTTTTTTTTTTTTTTTTTTTTTTTTGTTTATTTATTTTTCTGTTGACAACTTGATTAGAGTATTATGTTAAGCTTGCATAAAATTTGTATAGCTGATGCAGTTGGAAGGAAAGTTGAAAGATCAAAACCCTGCAGAATGTGATGATAATTCTGGTATCCAGATCAATGCTTTGAGAATAGAACTAGAGGAAAAAGCAGATGATATGAGAGATTTGGAAAGCCTTAATAAAACTCTGATAGTTAGAGAGCACACGAGCAACATTGAGCTTCAAGAAGTCCGCAAAGAACTGATAAATGTATGACTTAACTCATTTTAGCTTATACTTGAATCAAATATGAAGACTGGATTTTTATTTACTAGATGACCATAACTTTTGTTCTGCTAGAAAATCGAACTCTAAATTATATCTAACATCTGCAAATTGTTTCTCAATGGAATGTTTCCTCGTTTTTTGCCACCCAGAATTTGGATGGTCGGCAAAGCAAACGCACAGTACTTGGAATTAAAAGAATGGGGGAACTTGATCCGCAGCCGTTTCGAGATGCATGCCTGGCGAAGTTCCCCGGTGGATGCTGGGAGGAGGAATCTGCTAAACTATGTTCCCAGTGGCAAGAGAATTTGAAAGATTCAAACTGGTATCCATTCAAATTTGATCAGAAACTGCAGGTACGTTTGAATACCTACCATCCACACAATGAATCTAAATAATTAAACTGTCACTGATTGAACTTAGATCTGGTAAATGTTTTGCTTCATTCAGTGAAAATAGAGAGTGAAAAGATTCTAGTTCTAAGAAGGAAAAAAAAAAAAAAAAAAAATTGTTCTACTATTAATTTTGAAAAAGGTGTGTTTTGGATGTCCCATTGAAATGATTGGCTTTATTTGTCATACATGCCATTTGAACATAGAAAGCCATAATCTAATACAGCACATTGCGGAAAAAGGGAGGCATTATGGTCCCGTTTAATTGACGGAAACATAGTTATGTACTGATAAAGAAAGTATATAGTACTCAACGAAGCAATTAAGTGGATACTGAACTGCCTTAGAGTGAGTTTATTTAGATGCCAAAAAAATAAATAAAAAAAATGGAAAATTATGTTCATAACGGTACAAGTACCTCATTATACTACACAGATCATACAGTAATGGATTCATAACTAAATTAGACGACACATTCTATGTGGATTTATGAATGCTGTAGGTGCAGGAAACTATAGACGAAGATGATGATAAATTGAAAGAGTTGAGAAAGGAATGGGGCGAGGAAGCATACAAGGCTGTAGCCAACGCATTACTGGAGTTGAATGAATACAATCCAAGTGGAAGGTATCCAGTTCCTGAAATTTGGAACTTTAAGGAGGGACGAAAAGCTAGGTTGAAGGAGGCAATTCAGCGCATCATCAAACAACAGAAGACTTGTAAACGTGCAAGAGTATGCTAAAAACTATAAAAAAAATAGGATCTCACAGAGAAAAGAAAGAAAGATAAAGAACTCGATGAATTGTTATTTTATGCCGAACCTAGTTAACTATGTTTATATTTCTACAAGGAGACCTTATCAGTATGCCAGGCAGATTTGTAAAGTGGTTTTTGACTTGGTTAACATTCTAATACATATGATTTGAAGTTTATGAAACACGGATAATTTATGCTACCTCTAGATTCTGGGTTTGTCAATCTATACTGAGCGATAATTGTAAAGAGTCACAATGCCGAAACTGTGAAATGACCGTTAAAGTTGCATTTTGATTCTTGAAGTTTAGGCTCTCGTCCTTGTGACTGCTGGATTGGCTTGTTTTCTTAAGTTGGTATGGCATGAAAGAAAGAATGTTGACTTGTTCGGAAATTGGTATTTGGGGAATACGATATCTCGAATAATTCATTTTATGAATTAAGCAAGAAAATGCTTCAAGAAATACATAGATGAGGAGCACTCTTGAATTTGCGCGTGAGCAAGCACCTAGATTTGGAAGAATGACTTGTCTTGAAAGATTATCCAGGTTGAAGAAATACATTGATGAATGCATTCTAATTCTATCATTCTGATTTTCATTATTAAGCGCTAGATAAACAGCATATGCATAACTTAACGTCTTTGCTTTGGGTTATATACTGATAATTATAGCCTAATTGAATTTTCAAACTGGAACTATACTTGGATATGTGAGGCCTTCATATCATGTTCTAGACTTTTAGTTATTGAGGTTGAAGGCAATGAAATTAGGGATGGCAAAACTCTCCAATCTGGTGGGGAACCACCCTGCTCCACCCTTTTTGGGACGGTTTTGGGGAACCGTTTATGTAAATAGGGACTGGTTTTAAAAACCCGATCAATTTCGGAGTGGGGTCAGGAGAGGGTTATCCTGTCCCACCCCGCCCCAATTATATTACAATTTTACTAAATTGCCTTTACATGTTATTATATATTACTAAAATAGGTTAAGTGTGTGTGCCTGCGTGTTCACTTTTCCTTAGAGCTAAAAATAAGAAAAATGAGACTTATTCAATCGGTTTCAATCGGTTACCCCACGTCCTCTCGGGGGTTTGAAATTTTAAATGGTTATTGGGGGGCTAAATTGTCACATTGTCATCATACCAAATGAAATTGAGCTTGTGAGAAATTATTGCATGATCTCGAAATTATTGATTGCGAGCTAATCACACAATAACATGCAAATAAATGCGTCAATTTTGTGTTCATTTTATTATTTTATTAGTGACTTAAAATTTGCTCTTTATATCTCTATTTTAGTGTTTTACTTTCTTTTTCACTCTCATTGTTTGATTGTTTTCATGCTTCTATTTTTGTTGTCGTATTGAGTTGATCTTATGGTTATTATTATTATTATTATTATTTCTCCCTGTTATGTAATTTACATCTATAAATTATAAATAGAAAAAAAAAAAAAAAAAAGAGGAAAAAAATGTTGTCTTTAGCTGCAGTGATCCATGTTTTGGAATTGATTTTCTTTTTTATTTTTTTCTTAAAATAACAAAAAATAGTGAAGGAGAAATCCAGGCATTCAATTGAAAATTTTGACCATGTTAATTTAAAAAATAATAAAAAATAAAAGAAGAAGAAAACTTTGAATGGAAATGGTCAGAAATTTGAATAGCCAAACATCTTGGAAATAATTAGCGAGGGCCAGCACATTGAACGTGATAAAATATATTTTTTGCCAACTAATATGACAACTAATATTCCAGCAAGACCAGTAAGCGAAACATAGAAGTGCAATAATTGTGTAATCAAAATTCAAACAGTGTCATTTGTAAAAATATATATATATATTCAAAAACAAAAAATACGGACAATAATATTCATAGAATTTTAGTAATAAATTTATACAAGAAGAAGATAAGAAAATGTTGCTCTAATTCAATTATTCGCGACCAATTTATCATTTTATTCACGGAAACATTTTGATTTATTCAATATTAGTAAACAATAGACTTTCCAAAATTATATGTTGTGTACCCAAAAGTAGACCCGGCTGTCAAGGGATTGGATTGATCAAATCCATATTAGACTTATTAAGTTAACGGATTATCAGATTTCGATCACTGATGAATTATTGGATTAAATATTCCAATTCATCTCCTATTTAGCATTTATTTGGATCGAATCGAATTCGGATTAAAATTTTATTTACGGACATATATAATTGGGAGAATTATTAATAGGAAAATGATAGAACAGCTGAAAAATATCCCGAAAATAATCACCATGAGGTGGATTGGCCATGTCAGACTTTTAAGAAAAAAAAGAAAAATATATATATATATATATATATATATATATATATATATATGTAAAATTATTGATAAATAATTATATATATAATTTTAATCGGATTTGATTGGATTATTATCATATCATATTAGCATAATCTATATCCAATTTGTTAAACTAACGAATTATCGAATTTGGATCGTAATCGAGTTATCAGATTTTTTGTCCAATTCATATCCGACTAATCGGATTGAATTCGAATTGAATCCAGAGTAGGATCTGCTCCATTGACAAGTCTAACTTTACTACTCCTCACTAGTCTTCAATTCAAAATTAATTAAAAGTGAGGTTTAAACTTAAATATCGTACTTGATTTGCGAATTATTGCGTGACGGACCGTATTGCTGGATCAATGTGAGAGTCAACAGATATTGCATTACTAGGTGAGAGTCGAAAGTGATTAGCAAGTTTGTGTTTGTTTGGTTTACTATTAGCACGAGGGATCGATTAGTTATATATATATATATATATATATAAAGAAAATAAAAAAGAGAAAATAAAATCAAAAGTATTTTCTCGTTTGGCAACCACAATTACCATGTGTTTTTGCTTTAAACCGAAATAGAAGTAATGTTTTCGTTCAAAGTATGTTCAACACTATTTCAAAACTTGTTTAGTAACGTAAATTTGTTGCAATATTTTTTAAAGTAAAAACACGAGAATATGTTTATTGCAGCAAATAATGCTAAACATATTTCGTGCTTTTATTTTGCTACAGTACACTTAGTCGTTAAGTCTAAGTTTGTTTGGTTTACTATAAATAAATAAAAAATAAAAATAAAAATTAGTTATATATATAAAGAAAATAAAAAGAGAGAAGAAAAAGTTGTACTCCGTAAACCCTAATACAAATAGAGAGGGGCTATAATTACGAAGGGAGAGGCTTGAGCAAGGGGGTTGTCTATATCTAGAGAGAGAGTTCATTCCATTTGGTGTGTAGAGAGAGAAGACGAAGAAGAAATCAAGATTCAGTGACTAAGATCACAAAACCTGTCTTCTTTCTCTCTTCCCTTCCCTTCCCTTCCCTTCCCTTCCCGACTTCGATTTGGGTATTTTTCTTCCGCAACGACACTTAAAAAATTAGACTCGTTATTACAACATTGATATTTGTTTTGGGTGTGCATTTGCACTTGATAATTGTAGAGAGAGGTTTTACTTTCTCTCTCTACATAAAACTGTGCATACAGAGAAAGCCTGATACACCTTAAGTTTGTTCCAGATGGAGCCTAAGAAATTAGCTGTGTTTGGTAACGGATTTAAGGGAAATCAGGCAGCGGCCAGACAACCGTAGAGATGGTATCCACAGATGAATTGTGTTTCTACTCCAGTTTATCTACTGATTCCATCTCATATTATAGATTTGATTTTTGAATTGGGTTGACATTTTATTTTGTTTTAGTAGCATAATTTTGTTTTTAAAATTTGGTTATTAATCATTTTTTCTTGAGTTCAAGGTCAATTATTATTATTATTATTATTATTTAAATCTTGATCACCAAAATCTAATTTTCTCAAAATTTTTTTTTTTTTTTTTCAAAAGCCTTTTTGTGTGTTAACTGTTAAGTAATCAAGCTGATCTGTAAATTATATATATATATATATATAATTAATTAATTATGTGTGAGTTGGATTGGTTTGATTGTAGTATTAAATCTAAATTTAAAAGGGAACGAAAGATATCCTAGTGTCACAAACAAAGTGTTAACGTTTGTAAAAGTTGTCTATTAAGGCTTGTTTTGTGTTTATAATATATGACCAAAAAATAAAAAAAGAAAAAACCTCAAATGTTACAATAATAATGTAAAACTCAAATGTTACAACAATAATGTAAAACTCAAATTTGGTGCATTAAACTCTACTCTATAGAAACTTTCATAACCTAATATTTAAAAAAAAAAAAACAAAACAAAATGAATTACAGTCCAAATGCAAGTCGTTTGAAGTGTTAGGCTGGGGCGGAGGCAGGGGAGCCATGGCCCTGTCTTTGAACCTTTCACGCTCACCCTCACTATATCCCCTGCGCCCGCTATGTTTGTGATTAGAACAAATTTTGAAGTTCCGGAAGTCATTGATTGTGAATCTGATTCCTCCTTGCTTTCCACATGCCACCCTATGTGAATGGAGAAAACATAAATTTAATTCAAATTACTGAGCGAGGGTTCTTTAGGAAATAAAAGTGATAAGGATAATTTAAATAACCAGATAAGATAAATATAAAGTTGTTCAACCGGGTAAAGATAATCTCGGTACAAGTTCAAATTCAAAAGAGCAAATAATCTCTACAACAAATATCCTCTGATCTTACAACGAACTAAGGGACAGCCGACTACCAGTCAATCAGGGATGAGAAAAAACGTAATATTAAATCCTTACCTTTTTTTTTGAACTCTGATGACTGACTTGATTTTCGGAGAACTCTTGGCAGGCACCACACCGGTGCCGTCAATATTCATCGATCTTCTCCTCTATTCTTTGCAGGAAAACGGTGTTGTCCCAGGTTATGTTGATTTCCGCTTCAACAGCTGGCGTCGTCTGTGGGAACGAAAGTTCTCATAAAAAAATATCATGGTTCAGTTGCGCTTTGGGTTAGCCATTGGAGAGGGAACGTCGATGCAGAATCCTAGTCAAAGGGAACTGCAGAGGGGACATCCAGACACCTCCATCATCCAGGAACACATCACAGCATTGGAACAATAGTTCTAGACTTTAAACCAAGGTTAGACCAGTTGGTCCAACAACATACGATGATTTTACAACACCTAGCTACCTTGGTAGGACCACCGCCTCAACAAGAAATGTCCGATGGACATCTAGATCCTCCCAATTTGAATGATGGGGGGAAAAATGGAAAGGACCGAGATAACGATCTTCATCACAAGCTCAAGGCAGAACAAAGCCAAGTTGGAAACCGACACAGAGAACCTCCTCTTCCTCCTTCACGAAACTCCCAGCCTCGGGTAGGTACAACCACCTATCTTGAGAAGAAGACAGAGGAAGTTACCTATTTCGACCTGCAAATCCAGTATCTCAAGGCTAAAATGGAAAATATAATGTAGACTATGAAGAGGAAAGGTCCTACTGCCATAGATGACTTGGTGTGGAGGACCAACTTGCTGTTCAGCCCTGTCATTATGAAATGCCCCCTGCCAAACAAGTTCAAGATGCCCTCATTCGAAAGTTTCGATGAGACCAAAGATCCCCTCGACCACCTGGAGATCTTTCAAGCTCTTATGCATTTATACGCTGTGCCGAATGAGATTATGTGCCGAGCCTTTCCCACAACCCTTAAGCTTTAGTTGTTTAGTGTAATTTTGGGCTCCTGGCCCAATGTATTCTGGCTGGCCTTTTTGTTTGTTTTGTTGACATGTGGCATCTTGTGAGTGGTGAAAATTTTTCCCTCCATAAACTATTGTTACGAGGTTAGTGGTGAAATCAATTCCCTAAGCCTCATTCTCTTGATCACTACTCTCATTTAATTTAGGTTTAATTTTAGTTTTAATTTCATTGCAATTTAGAAATAGAAAAAAAAAAAAAAAAAAACATCAATCTCTTCTCTTGAATCAAATCGAAATTAATTTTACACTTAACAATTCCAAACAGTCCTTGAAGTTCGACACCCTCTTAATAACCCTATCCTACAAGGATTCATACTATTGCAACTAGTTTTATAATTAAAAAACTCCACATCACTGGTGGTCGAGGGTGGTGGGTCGTGGTGACAAATTTTGATTTAGATGGCCGAGGTGGCGGTAGTGGGTGGTGGTGGTGGTAGTTGGAGCTGTGATATTATTTCTATTTTTAGAGATAGGGAGAGAGAGGTAATAAGGGGTTTAGGTGAGGGGTAATTTAGACCCAAATGTATAGGTTTATGTCAAATACAAAATTACCCTTGTAAAGTTGTCATATTTTATAATACATTTTGTTAAAGTGGCACTTTTCATCCATTCTTTTTTGACATGGTCGTATTTGTAAAACCTCACAAATAACTTGTCATCTATTGAATTTTTTTCTTCTTCTTTTTTCATATACACTTCACACTACACATCTGGGAATTTTTTGGTGAAAATATGTTACAATTTACATTCCAACCTACTGCTCCAATGCTTGTGTTTTCTTCCTAAAAGCTTATTTGAAAAGGGTAACTTATCTCTTTTTTTTCTTTGATTCAATCACTGATTTGTCAAATTCTAAATTTTATTGATTCGAAAAGTTCAAAATTTTGGATCGTTTAGAAGATCAGAATGCTAGTGGGTGAAATACCCTTTCAGGAAAAACGGAGAATAACAGTTATATACGGATCTCGAAGCTAGGTTATGATTTTACCTTTAAATATTGGTAATGGAGTTGGTTTTTGCTAAGCTAGAGGTGAGGCAATAGTGCCGATCATGATCTCGTTGGAGAAAATTGGTCCCTCGGTGGTTCGTCGGGAAAAAATGGTATTTCGCCGGAATATCACTTGGTGGGTGGCCGAAAAAAATGATGTTTCACTGAAATATCATTAAGTGGGTCACCGGAGAGAGTGTTAGAGAGATAAAGAGAGAAATAGGTAATGGGGAACTGTTTAAAAGGTAGAGGTAATTTTGCCCTAATTGTATTAGTATTTGTATGATTTTGGAGGTTGAAATGTTTGCACAAGATGAGATTATGGTTGATTTGCTTATCAGGTTTTGGATTCCTGATTAATCACATGAAAGCCCAGTTGGAGGAACCCGAGCCCAGCTTGGGTTTTAATCGGCGTGCTCAACTTGTGAGCACTGCCTTGTTTTCAAGCACATTCCATTAACCTTTTGGCCTTGCTTTTGGAAGACAAAAGCTCCACAATTGCGACACATTGAATTTTTTATGATAAATAAGAGTTGTGGTAGGGCTAGACTTGCATAATAGGTACCTTGATTGAGGTAATTTCATTCGAATATTCAAACTTTGTTCATTAAAACACTCTTTGTGACGTAGCTAGGTCACTCGTATACTGGGATTGGATTAATACATAGCTTGGAAATGTCGTGTTGTATGGATTATTCCAAATCTTGCTTAATTGTATTGATGTTTTCCAGCTATTTACCCTAGATATGATAAGATACCACTTGAAAATAAGGATGCTGTGTCCTCTTGGACCATAAAGTGAAGCTTCTCCCCTTTTTCTTTCCCAATGGATGCACGAATGCTTCATGCTTCTAATCATCAATTTAACTATAGGCTTTCACAAAGTTTTGCCATTTGAGCGCTCTCATTTTCTTTCAAAGATTCAATACTTATACATTAAAAAGGTCTAATAATATAATAGTTTCCTTGATTTAAGTAATTTCATTCAAAGATTCCCAAATAGTTGTTCATTCAGAAAGGAATCACAAACTGGAAGTGAATCCTTCAGCCACAAACTGGGGAACGATCAAATGTGGTGGTCTCGGAAGCGGAAACGGGTGCCTAGGAACCCAATCTTTTCCTGTTCATGAGAACGGTGAAGAGAAACGGCGATGCCAAGAGTCCGGCAGAGATGAGGACAGTGAAGGACGGTTCTTAGAGGCAAATCAACATAAAATGGCAAACCCTTAATGATCTTCTTTAATGAACAATATTTAATTCTTTAATGCATTCTATCATAAAAACACATGCTAGTATTGGGGTCTTGGATCTAACTGTTTGGATTTATATGCCCTGGTATGGCAAATTCCTATTTGGATTATATTAACATATGTTCTTGACATATCTGAAATATTTATGATTTATATACTTGGTGAATTCAATGTGTTATGCTTCAATTCATTATGGAATTGATAGTATCCACTTGATTACAAGAGATATTTATATATGTATGTGATGGCGATCAATACATGATTATAAATAATAATCATAAATTGTTCATAGTCGGTAATTATGGATGGACTCATTATTAATTAAGACTTGAACTAAATCCGCATTAGGTTGAGATATATTGCGAGAGCCGTCGTATGCAATTGCTCCCTATCACTATTATGGCATTTTACTCTTAAGTATGAGAGAAGTATAGACTCTTTTATTAATTAGTAATTACTTTGATTTGTTCGGCGGAATCTTCGGAATCCATAGATCGGCACTTTGGTTAGTTATGTAATTAATAGTTAGAGGGTTATATTTTCAATATTTGCATCATTGCTACTTGTATTTATTTTGTATTGATTATGGTTGATCACAAAGTAAATTCAAAAGCCTTCGTGTGTTTTTAGACAAAATAATTTTTTATATTTATTTATTTAAATTATTATTTTTGTCAAACAAATATTTTATTGTGATCAAGCCGAAAATAATCAAAGGTACCAAAATAAATATATTAATTAAGTAGTCGGATTGATGATTTTATTTATCTGATAATTAATTATGCATAGAGAGGTCAAAGTGCAACATTGACTAAGAGGTTATTTATTATTTAATTGGAGTTCAATTAATTTCTTTTAGTGGAGTAGAAATTAATTTATGAATTAATAGAATTAGGTTCATGGATCGGGCCAATTATTAATTCATTGTAGCCAAGAAAATAATAAGCCCAAAGGATTCTCACTCATAGCCCAACTTGAAATTAGAATCCTATTAGATTTAAGATATGGGAATTAGAGATTGAGAAGGATTTATTATTTCCTTTCCTTATTTTTATGTTGCCTATATATACATGGTCCATGTATATTTTAGGGGTAATTTTTGAAAGAAAAATGAATATATTTTTTCTCTCTAGAATTTTAAGGTTAGTGTTCTCATCTAATGGAGGCTCCCACAAGCCTAGTTTTCTAAGGTCGTTCATGGAGGCTTATGGATGGTTCCTAAAGGCAAGACAATTACCAAGAAGATGGAGATCCAAGGAAGAGGCATCTAGAAAAGGGATCAAGTGAGAACATTCACTTTAAAGGAGAGATCTAAGGTTTACTCAAACCTTGATGTAA